GGACCTGGCGCAACTTAAAAATTCGAACAATATATCCACGACCAGGCCGGAATCCGGCTTGTCGTTCACGGATGTTGATCTCCCTTAAAGGATTCAGGCATCGAAGTATGATCGAGGCTAGCACTTTGGTGACCATAGGGATCAAACTGATCCCGCTTTGTTTTTCGCAATCGCTGCGAGATCCTCCCTTTAAAATGGGAATGATCAGTGATTGGCCCCAAGATGATGGAATGTGCTCTTGCATCCAAATGTTGCGCAGTAGGGTAGTAATAGAGGTTACGAGGTTATCACCTCCCATCTTGAAAAGAGTGGGATGGAGCTCATCAGGTCCTGCTGCCTTTCCTCGCTTTAGGGCTTGAATGCAAGACCGAACTTCTGCTTCTGTTGGGGGATCGCATGACACTGCCCACAGAGCTTCAGTCGGAGATGAAGCAGCCTTGTTAGCACTAGACCAGCTGAATTGTTAGCTGAAGTATTCTGCCCAGCGATCGAGTCGTTGTTCCCTATTGTGAATAGCTCAACCCCTCTTATCGCAGACTGTTTCACTAACTGGGGTTCACCGACCTCCCGTATTGCGTATCAGTCGGAACAGTCTTGACTATTCCCTGATGCATCCGATGCTTCCATTTCACTAGCTATTGTTGCCCACCAGTTCTCACGGTCCTTCTTGAGACTCTTTGTGAGTCGACGTTGTAGCTGCCGCCTAACTCTATTTTGATCCTGGCAGGTAGGGACTTGTGGTTTTTGCTCTATCGGGACTACTGACTCTTGAGATATCCAATGCCTCCGATGGGTTTGAAGCCCAGACCCACAAGCAACATTCGCTGCGGAATGCATTGCTCGCCTTATCTGATCCCACAGCTCGTCTACATCACCACGCTGAAGCGCACTTAGCTTACGCACTAGTTCTGACTCATAGAGTGAATGAACTACTTGAGCAGATAGTCGTTGATGAGCTATCCGAGCTTGCTGGTTTTGTCGCCGACCAGTCAGTCAGAGAGTGAAGTGTATCAGAACTAATGCGTGGTCAGACTCAACACAGGTGGTCCAATAGGACCTGCAATTTTGCATTGAGCCACGCCAACGGTAACTTACTGCGATG